TCTATGACGACGGGGCCATCATGCTGCGGGAGGAATCCACGCTGCTGGTCGGGATGCTCATTGGGCTCGGCGCCATCGACTTCAGGTGGGATGCGAGCAGGCAGCCACCGTGCCCCCCCCAGGTCCCCCTGCTCACCCCCCTGCTCATCCCCTTCTCCCCACCCCCCCCAGCTTCTGCCTGAAAGGTGAGGTGATGGACGGCAAGGTGCCGGCGGTCATCGACTACACGCCCTACCTGAAGTTCACACAGAGGTACGCACAGCCCCACTGCCCTCTGCTGTGCCCACACACCCGCTGAGCCCCCCCGCCTTGCCCCTCCCCCCAGCTATGACTACCTGAGCGAGGAGGAGGAGCGGGGCAGCATGGGGAGCAGCACCAGTGAGGACAGCTCACCTGAGCACCCCTACCTGCCGCTGGTCACCGACGAGGACAGCTGGTACAACAAGTGGCGCAAGATGGAGCAGAAGTTCCGCATCGTTTATGCCCAAAAGGTACCGGGGTGGGGGCACCGGGTGCTGACCCCCATGGGGTGCTCAGCATCTCAGCATCCCGTGCTGCTCCCTGGATCCTATTGGTCCTTGGGATGAGATCGCCTGTGTATCAATCCTTATGGGATGCTCCAACTCTGAACATCCCATGTCCTGATGGTATCTGGGATTGAGGTACCAACCCCAATGGGATGCTCCAGCTCTCAGCATCCTGTACTGTCTCCTGGATCCTACTGGTGATTGAGATGGAGCCATGTGCATCCCAAACTTTATGGGGTGTTCCAGCTTTGGGCATCCCACTTTCTAGTGGTGCTTGGGATGGGGCAACCTGGGTATGGATCCTTATGGAATGCTCCAGTCCTCAGCATCCTGTGCTGCCTCCTGCATTCCATTGGTATCTGGAATGAGGCCACCAGGGTACTGACCCTTATAGGATGCTCCCACTCTGAACATCCCATGTCCTGATGGTATCTGGGATGGGGCCACCTGGGTACCAACTCCAATGGGATGCTCCAGCTCTCAGCACCCTGTACTGTCTCCTGGATTCTATTGGTCCTTGGAACCAGGCCACCTGCGTATCAAATCCTTGTGGGATGCTCCAGCTTTGAGCATCCCATATTCTGGTGGTCCTTGGAATGGGGCTTCCTGGGTACAGATCCTTATGGGATGCTGCAGCCCCGAGCACCCTGCGCACAGCTCACTGCTGCACACATCCCTGTGGCACCCGAGGGGATGCTGAGCCAGCCCTGTCCCCATCACCCCACACTGGGTGGCTCTGCTGATGGTGGCCCCGCAGGGGTACCTGGAGGAGTTGGTGAGGCTGCGGGAGTCGCAGCTGAAGGACCTGGAGGCGGAGAACAAGCGGCTGAAGCTGCGGCTGGAGGAGGCGGTGGTGCAGAACCAGCTGGAGAAGAAGGAGCTGGAGGGCGTCATCCTGGAGCTGCAGGAGCAGCTGTGAGTGGGGTCCCGTCCCCATCCCCATCCCCATCCCCATCCCCATCCCCATCCCCATCCCCATCCCCACCCCATCCCCATCCCCATCCCCATCCCCATCCCATCCCCATCCCCATCCCACACTGCTGTGGGTGATGGGTGCCAACTGCTCCACGTACCCTGGGAGTCCTCAGTGCTCCCTGCGCCCTATAGGACACAGTGTCCCCCCATTCACCTGTGGGGCACGATGGGATGTGGGCCCCCATCGCTCACTGCTCCCCCCGATGTGTGCCACAGGACGGGGCTGATCCCATGTGAGAACCCACAGCTGGCGCAGCTCTCCAAGGAGATGGTGACACCTTTGGTGAACCAGTGGCCATCGCTGGGGACGCTCAATGGCAACGAGAGCGGCTCGGACAGCAAGCTGTACAGGAGGTAACCGGGGAGAGGGGGGGGCAGAGCCGCCGACCCGCACCCCATCGGCCCCGGGGGGAGGGGGGGAACTGAGCGCCGTCCCTCCGCAGGCACAGCTTCGTGAGCACCGACCAGCTGTCGGCCGAGAACAGCCTCAGCTCCGACTCCCAGCGCCTGGGCGAGGGCAAGCGCGAAGGCGAGCCCTGGGGGCCCTTGGGTAAGACCCCCCCATGGGGTGCTGCACGGGGTCCCCAACCGCAGGTCCCCCCCTCTCCCCCCACGCTAGGGTTGTTTCCCACTCAGCCATCGGGTCCCCGCCCCCCGGTTCGGCCCCATCCCCGTTTGCAGCCCCCGCCACGCGCTCTGTCCCCGCAGGGAAGGACCCCACGCCCTCCATGCTGGGGCTCTGCGGCTCCCTGGCCTCGCTGCCCAGCTGCAAGTCCCTGGCCAGCCTCAAGTCCAACGAGTGCCTGGTGAGCGACAGCAACGAAGCCAGCCCCACCCGCAGCCCCAGCTGAGACCCCCGGCCCCCCCGTCCGGCAGCGCCGCGGAGGACTGAACCTCATCCCCTCCTTGCTGGGACCGACGGAGGATGAAGGACACAGAGCCGTCGGGATGGGGATGGGACGTGAATGCCCCCATATCCACCCGAGCTGGGCAGGGGGGATGAACTGTGCGGCACGGGGAACCCTGGAGAGCGCTGCTGGGTGCAGAGGAGGGGTTTGGGATTCAAACGCCCCCTCCTCAGCACCCGTGGGACCCAACTGCTTCTCCTGCAACACCATCCCCGCAAGTGAGATAGGAACCCGCTCCCCTTCCGTCCCCTTTTCCCTCTGGGTTTGGATTCAACCTCATCTTGCCTTGTTGGTGCAAAAAGGAATCAATAAACACAGTGATAGGAGCTGGGCTCTGCGTGCAGCCAGCCAGTGGGGTGAGGGAAAAGAGCAAAGTGCCCCCCAGGCGTGATGGGGGACTGCAGGGCCCCCCAGCTGGCAGCTCCCTATAGCAGAGCACAGCTGGGGGCTGCCAGCCAGGTGAGCATCACTCTGCCCTTTGTGGACTCCACACCCTAAGAGGCCTTTAGTTTTATTTAAGAAAATAAGAGAAACTGCCCTCCGAGGTGGAAGGAGGGCAGCTCCCACATGGGGCAGACCCTCGTGGTGAAGGGTCAGGTCACAGATCCAAGCCTGGCCCCTCAGAGCAGCAGGGAGGTCTATCCCCACACAGGGTCCAAACCCAGGGAGGTCCTGAGGAGGAGGAAAGGTCCGGAGGCAGAGCTGTGGTGAGTCCCCATGCCATGCAGGGCTACAGGGGAGGCTGTGCGTAACGAGGAAGGGCAGGATGGGGGACAAAGCGGGGCTCGGGCACACGGAGCAGCCCCCAGGGTTTGGTCCAGCATGGAGCCCCGGCCCCCACCCTCAAGGAGGCTGGGAGCACCCAGCCCGAGTCCAGCAGCAGCATCTGTCCGACCCCAAGGGGTGAGCACAGGCACGGCCACGCAGGGCTGCATCCCCACAGCATCACAGTGGGCACCAATGTCCCCAGCAGGGCACGATGGAGGCGGCCCCTGGGCTGTGTCCTTGCTGTGAGCCACGTCCAGGCCGTGGAGTGCACCGTGGGAAGGCACTTGGGCCAGCAGCAGGGCTGGCACCGGCCCTGCTCCATGGGTCACGGTTCCCAGCTCACAGCCCCCGCAGCCGCCGCTCCTGGTTCAGCTTCTGGAAGAAGGTTTTGCCAAACTCGTAGGTGCTGATCATGATGGCACAGGCGGGTGCCACCTTAATGACACGAGGCAGGAAGCCTGCAAGGACAGCACTGTCAGCCCCACTGCGATGCCCACAAACCCCAAACCAGGGCAAGAAGGGGAGCGTGTGTTAAACCCCTACCTGCAAACAGCCCGCGCGTGCCAGACTCAGCACGGATACGCTGCAGGAGCAGCCAGGTGGACGAAGGCTTGGAGGCTGCAGCTGCGAGGAGAAAGGAGGGGGTTTAGGGGATGCCCAGAGACCCCTCCCCATCTGCCTCAGCGAGAAGCCCCCTCACCTGGGTGCATCTCGCTGTCTCCTAGCTGGATCTGCCGCTGGGTCTTCACCACATCGAAGGGCAGCGTCAGCACGGCAGCCACCTGCAGCAAGCAGGCAGGGCTGTGCATGCCATCCCACTTCTCTTTTCTGCCCCAGGGGGCTGCAGCCCCCAAGCCCCCCCACTCACCGTCCCAGAGATGGCCCCGGACACAAAGCTGACCATGAAGGTGGCCTCATCCAGCCGGGTTTGTCTGCAGAGCCACTCCCGCACCAGCTCATAGTTGAACCAATAGAGAGCTGGGAGGAGAGAAGTGCCGGTGCTGCAAGAGACTACAGGGCACCACCTCCCACGTCCCCACAGCCCATCCCACAGCCATACCAGAGAAGGGGACGTCCCGCAGCACCGTGGGCCCCCATCCCCTCCACAGGGACAGCCAGCCATCCTGAGCCACCGCTGACTGGATGCAGACACGCAGCTCGCGGTAGCTGAGCTGTCGGGATTGCATCTTGGTGCGGATCAGCTCCAAGGGGCTGATCAGTGTCACAGCACCCACTGCAGGGGGGGAAAAGCAGAGAGGTCAGAGCCGTGCAGTGGGAGCAGAGGGGGGCTGTGAGGCACTGTGCTACTCACGCCGAGCGAGGGCTCCTGCCAGCAGTGGGATGTGGTGGCCCCGGCTCCCGGTGCGGGCGTGCAGGTAGTCCCGCAGCTGGTCGTAGGTGGTGAAATAGATGACAGTGGCTGGCACAGCCATCACCCTGCAAGGAGATGGGTGATGAGGGCAGCCCAGGGGGGGCTCAAAGTGTGGGTCCCACCGCCCAGATCCATACTCACAGCGTTGGGGGGAGCCCGCTCCACAGGGACCTGATGCCCTCGTGGCGCGTGATCTTCACAAAGGCATCCTGTGGGGATGCACACAGAAGGGGTGGATGGGGTGAAGAGCACCCCTTGGCCCCCACCCTGGGACACCTACAGTCCCTGCAGCCCCTACCAGTGTGCCGTTGAAGCAAGTGGGGGTCTTGTACCAGGCAGTGCAGCTGTTGCCATTCTGACAGACGTACAGATGATCCATGAGCCCGTTGCAGTAGAGGAAACACTTCCCTGAGAGAGTGGAAGAACAGACAGCGTCACTGCCAGACCGACCCCAGCCTGGACACATCCCTCTGCCCACCTCCAGACCATCATATCTCCCAGGACAGCACTGAAGCCTTGTGCCCAAGCATCACAGCAGGGCTGGGGGAGACAGCAAGGCGATTTCCCATTGCCTGCAAGCATCCTGCCCCACCAGCAGCACCCAGACACCATCATCACACTCAAGTGGGACCAAGCAGGGGAAAGGCTCAGGATGTCCCTGCAGATGACACCAGCGAGGAAGCAAGCTGGAGCCAGGGGGATCTTTAACCCCCACGTACTCACATGTGGCATGCTGTGAGCCCTGGGGCACCGATCGCACCAACCACGCTGAAACACAACAGGGACAGGCTGAGCAATGGCACTGGGGATGTGCCACCCTCGTGGGACCGGTGTCCTGTGTCCCTGCACCCAGCACGGGGCCACACAGAGCCCAGGGGGGTTGGCCAGGAGGTGTGGGGTGGTCACACAGCACAGAGACCAGCAGCAGGGGGAGGAAGATGGAGAGGAGCCCTGGAGCACACCGAGCTTCCATCCAGCCCTGAACTGGGACAAGGTGTGCATGGCACCCACCTGCCCCACAGCTGCCACCCCCAGCCCAGCACTGCTTGGGGATGCCAGTCCCCATGGAGGTACCTTTGGAGAAGGGCGTCCTCTGGGCCTGCAGTCTGATCTTCACCACATCCAGGGGTGTCACTGCAACAGCATCACTCTGTTAGCTGCCACCCCTCCACCATCAGCCATAACCCAGAGTACCACTGTGTCCTCCCCCCCCAGCTTTCCCGGGGCCTCACCAAAGAGGGAGGTGAGGATGGCACCCGTCCCGGAGGCCAACATCTGCTGCAGGGGTGTGATGGCCCCGCTGGGGCCTGGCGATGTCTTCTCAGCCATGGTACTGCCCTCCTGCAACACACAGCATGCTCAGGGGGCTTCACCCACACCCCCAGCCCAGTACGTGCCCATCTTGGGGCTGGGGGTCTGGATCACCCCCGTGCTGCACCCCAGCCGTGCTATCAGCACAGCACAGGGAGGGCGGCCCCCTCCTTGCTGCCTGCAGCCTGTAATCAGGGGGGACCCTCCTGGGGCCACCAGGCCTCGATAACAGCCAGTAGCTGCTGGCTGAGGGCCCAAGGGGAGGAGGTGCTGCCTCCTCCCAGGAGGGGACGTTAAGGGACGGGAGGGAACAAAGTGCAAAGAGCAGAACGCTGCGGCCCCCTCCTGGCCCCAGCTCGGTGCAGCCCAGGAGTTGTGGGGTGCAGGAGGAGCTCAGCAAAGGGTTTGGAGGTGCAAAGTGTCAGTGAGGGCAGAGCTGGGCGCAGTGCACCCCGTGCTATGGGGTCTGTACCCAGGGGCTCAGCAGGGACCTCAGCAGGGGACAGGCAGCAGAGTTCTGCCAGCCAGAATGCACTCGAGCAGCAGACAGATTTCCAGGCATAATTCAACACAGAACAAAGCTTAAAAAAAAACAAAATCCAAACTGCCTTTGCCATCTGACTCAGCAGTTCTGCAAGGTCAGTGCAGCAGGCGGGCTCTGGTGGAAAGGGCTCAGGGCAGGGGACGGTGCTGTGCTGCGCCTGCAGGGCCCTTCCCTCCAGGGATAATGGGACTGGGGGAAACGCAGGGCTGGGCACTGCCAGCCCCCCACTGCTAAGGGGCTGAGAGCAGCTGCGGGGCTCCATGAGCACCCGGGGGAACCCAGATGTGCTGCTGTGGGGCACCCCGCTGCCACGCACTGCAGTAAGACGTGAGGACAATGAAGGCCAGCAATTAAGGCAAGGGACGACAGCCTGCAGGGCCCAAAGAGCCCACACTGAACCGCAGGGACACGCGAGGACCCCAGGGGCAGCGTCTCACG